GTGGGGTGTGTGTGTGTGTGTGTGTGTGTGTGTGTGTGCCTACCTCGACCCACAGCCCAGAGCCTGAATAACAGTAGGAGGAAAATGGACGGAGTGGGTGCATTTGGTGCTGGGAGAGCCGGGGCTGCGTTCGACCCTATTGCCTTTATCCAACAGCCGCAGACCATCCTTAGAATATTATCATGGGTAAGACGTTTATTTACCTACAAATAATCATATCTGCCCTAGAAGAGACAAATGTGGTCTGTGAGAATAACCCAGAACGTATCATAATCATAACATTTTCATCACGTGCTCATTTAATAATTAAATGAGGTCACTGACGCTCGTATAGCTATGCGTTTATTTGTAAAATCGAAGATTATTTTCGTTTATATTGAAAATGTTGACGTATTGATGTCATGAAGCGTATTTGCCTCTGGTGACGAGGTTACTCATGTGATTCCTTTTAGAATGAAAACATAAAAGCATGCATATAAACATACGCGCTCATTCTTCATTCTTTTTGTTGTTTGGTTTATTATGGCAGGATGAATTCGTTTGTAATACCATTATAGCCTATTATTATGTATTATTTTTTATCCATAGGTCTATCACTAGGCGTGACTTCAAAACAAGAAATAATATTTAAAATATGAGGCTATTTACCTATATTAAAGCAAAGCGAGTTAATCTAATGTCATGGATGAACGTTTCTCTATTATTACATTAAGGTTTTTCAGTAAGAACATCATTATAGTGTGTCTCAAAGCATAGTCAGCTGCCTCATTTTGAGCAGCGCATGTGTTTGAGCATCATTCTGTATGTTGCTCAGAAATGCTGTCTACTTAGGCAGCTCACTAGGTTTTGAGCCGCAGCCACTGCTGCTATATGACCGGCGCCTCGATTCTGATTGGTTGATGCATTACTTACTATACGCGCATGTACTGTTACATCCATTTGATGTTATTTGCGTCAGACAAACACATCAGGTGGAGCATAGCTTTGTGCAATACAATTCTCTTTCAGTCAAAAGCTTTTGTTTCTTGTAAAATAGGCATCAAAATCTTCTCAAAAATAAAATACAAAAATATTTATACTTTAAATTAGTAGGCCTTATGTAAAAGTATCAGTACATTAAAAGTACATATTAGTACCTTTTGAAAAGGTACAGTCCCAATGACAGCTTTTTTCTGTGAGTGTACAGAACAATATTTGGAAAATATTACAAGTGGAAAATGTTGATTTAGAAGAGTTGTTGTCTATTTAGAATACATTATGTTTATTGAATAGCATTGTTTTGGTCATACAGCGGATCTTGTGTCTGTGTAAGTTCATATTTCTCTTTCATTTTGTAATTGAAATATTAATTTATTACAATCAACACCAAAAAATAGATACATAGATTTTACTAGATATATGCTTCGGTCACTTCATGTCAACTGCCTGAACATAGAATAATAGTAATTATTGTAATGGTATTTAATTATTTAACAGTGTTAGCATGAAAAAAAGAACATCAATAAAACTGCTGTATCTTTTCCCTTGCAGATCTTCTCAATGGTAGTGTTCGGATCCATAATAAATGAAGGCTACGTCAACCATGGCAGTGAGAGGCTCTATTGCGTTTTCAACAAGAACAACAATGCTTGCAACTACGGAACCACCATTGGGCTCATAGCATTTCTAGCATGCATTTTCTTCATTATCCTTGACATGAAGTTCCAACAAATCAGCAGTATTAAAGACAGGAAGAAGGCAGTGATGCTGGACATTGGATTTTCAGGTAAACTATAAGAGCATGCCAAAACAGACTGAGACTCTCTCTGTGACGGCTATTTTTAAGCTGTGAATTGTTCAAGGGGTCTGGCAATGATTCAGTACTGTATTGCCTTAAGATGTTTTTTGTATTTATTTATGTAAACAACATGGGGACAGTATAGTAAACTTTATTGAAATTATTGCTATAATATATTCTTATTGTTGTGTTTTGTGCATGATGACAGGTTTCTGGGCGTTTTTGTGGTTTGTTTGTTTCTGCTTCTTGGCCAACCAATGGCAGCGCACCACTCCAGATGAGCTGCCCTTAAATCAGGGAGCGGATGCTGCCAGAGCTGCCATTACCTTCTCCTTCTTCTCCATCTTCACCTGGGTAAATGAGCATAACTATCTGTACACGGAAATGAAAACACTTTTTATTGACACATTTATTTGATTCCTTTTCAAATCTAAAGCTGAAATGGCAGGATATGCAGAACACAGTCCATTTCAGTTGTTATATCATGAACTATCTCATTGACATTAGCTTGCTCTACATACTGGCTTCAGCCCTCAGGGGATGTGGGAACATATAATAGAATGACTTCCTTCTCCCTTGCCGTCGTGAAAGAGGATGAGAATAGTGTTCGGTGGCGTGTCCTGATGTGAACGAAACTGATGCTATTTCTTACAGTTACTGAACAAGAGTGAAATGTATGACTTGTCTTGATCTTTAGCAATTGTTACATCAACGATTCGTGTTTAGAAATACACACAAGCACTACCATTTAGAATTATTTATTAATTTATAATGTCTTTGTGTAAACCGTGATACACTACCATTTAAAGGTTTGGGGTAAGCTTTTTTTACTAAATGATTTGTATATTTTTACATTTATTCAGCAAGGACCTATTAAACTGATCAAAAGTGACAGTAAAGACATTTATGATGTTACAAAAGATTTCTATTTCAAATAAATGCTGTTCTTTTGAGCTTTCTGTTCATCAAAGAATCCTAAAAAACTTATAATAATAATAGTAATAAATGTTTCTTAAAGGTATATTAGAATGATTTCTGAAGGATCGTGTGACACTGAAGACTGGAGTAATGAAAATTCAGCTTTTCATCACAGGAATAAATTACATTTGAATATTAAAACAGAAAACAGGTATTTTAAGTTGTACTAATAGAACAGCGTTTATTTGAAATAAAAATATTTTGCAACATTATAAAAGTCTTTACTGTCACATTTGATCAATTTTATTCTTGAGTTCTTTTTAAATATCTTACAATCCGCAAAAAATTTGAACGAAAGATACTTAACTCATATTTTCTTCAGAAAGTCCTTCAAATTATATAATGTTTTGAAAGTTTTATGATAATGTTTCAGCATGTTGCTAAGGATACAAATTTAGCCATATCCTCCTGACTACCAGGAAATGAAAAGCCCTGAATGTGCTCTGTACAGGACATCCAGACTTAAAACTGTGGCATGTTACGTCTCAGAGAAATCACTAAAACATAATGTCCTCTACAGAGGACAAAACTCCATAGCTGGTAGTCAGGAGGATATGACAAAACTACAAAACTAAATGCCAAGTTCTAGAATTATCTGGCACCAATAAGACTGCAGTGCCTTCAGGTTTAAAAAAAAAAACTGTTTGGTTTCTTCAGTACAAGTGGTCAGAGTTGAGCATAGTTATTTTTAATGAGAGTTCGGTACTAATGCGTGTGACTGTCATTTGCTTCTTCTCTGTATTTCAGGCTGGTTTGACCGTGAGAGCGGTGCAGAAGTACATGCTAGGGACCGACATGAGCCTCTTCACCACAGAGCACATGGACGGAAAGCCGCCTGTCCAGCCCTCCCCCACCGGCACGAGCACCGAGCCCAACGACACATACCAGAGCCCACCCTTCACCGAAAACCTGGACTCCAACGCCCCAACCTACCAGGTGCCAATTTACTGAAACGGTGCCTCTAGCAAAAGTCCACATGCGATGCCATTGGTGTGTCAGAGTCAGTGTGGATGGCTAGCACTGGTCTTCAAACTGAAGTGGTGTGACAATGTTCATAGGTAGTACCGTTTGTGAACTTCTGTACAAGAATATGTTGATTGTGATTTCACTTTCGTTCGGAATATTACGTGTTAATTTATCAGCTGGAATGAAACCGTTTTGAGGGTTATCAGTGTTGTTTAAAAATGAAAAAGGTTGCATGTGTTATATTTAGAGAGCTATGAAGTGCCATGCATCACAAACAATACCTTATATATTCAGTTTCCATAATGCTGTTGGGGTACTGTATTTAAAGTGCAATATCTGAAACATGGAATCACCGAAACATTTTTTGACACATTTAAATGTTCTCCAACTAAAAGCTTACGAGAGGTGGTCTTCCTAAAAGAGGGCAAGAGTTTGGCTGTAGATTTAAAGGTGTCTTATGTATCAAAAGTGTGTAGAGAAGGTGTTGACTCAGTGAAGCCACTAAACGTGTTACGACATAGTCAGATTTTATTTTGGAAGGAGTTTTGTAACTTACAATGACCCCACTTGGTATGTTTTCAACATTAGGAATTGCTAGTAAGAAAGTCAAATGTGTCATTTTTATCAGCAAGGAGACATTAAATCGATCAAAAGTGACAGTAAAGACATTGGTAATGTTACAAAAGATTTCTATTTCAAATCAGTGCTGTTCTTTTGAACTTTCTATTCATCAAAGAATCCTGAAAAAAATATTAAGCAGCACAACTGAGCAGCAAATCAGCATATTAGAATGATTTCTGAAGGATCACGTGACACTGAAGACTGGAGGAATGATGCTGACATTTCAGCTTTACATCACAGAAATAAATAAAATTTTAAATTACATTAAAATAGAAAGCAGTTATTTTAAATCCTAATACTATTTCATAATATTACTGTTTTTAGTGTATTTTTCATCAAATAAATGCAGCCTTGGAGAGCAGAAGAGAATTAAAAAACCTTACCAACCTCAAGCTTTTGAAAGGCAGTGCATATACCAGTGGTTTGCAAAGTAATTTGTTTGGGACACCCTTCAGATATTCATCAGTTGGCTGCTGTTTAAAAAAAAAAGCTGTTTGGTGGCCATCATCAGTGCTTTGTCTGATATGTGGTAGATTTTGGTAATGTTTCTGTGTTCAGAGATAGGGCAACATACACAAATGATAGTGATTGTACTTCAATACATGTAAACGGAGTATGTTTGTGAAAGTGGTCAGGGTCTTGTGTTTCCTGTACTTAACTCCTGTTGGCACTCCTCTTGGCACTCCTGTTAAAATGCTTCATGGACCAATATTGTGGGAGAGTTTTGGAGTGATTCACTGAGGTATGTTTTGCTGGATCAAAATTTGCACCTCTAAAAAAAGTATTATAGATGATGAAGAGATGTGAAAATAAAAGCCTTATTTAGTTTTTGTATTTGTACCCCATTGAAGGACAAAGTGCAAAATTTGCATCAGTAAAAATGCCTTGACCTTGTCCAGGACTCTTTTTAAATGCATATTACATACTGTATCTGCAGGCAATATATCCCATCTTGTGATTGAAAGATGTACTCAAAAGATTTGTCGTTGTCAGTCAGAATGTCTTCAGACTGCAGTTGCCAGACATTATGAAAATAAAGACATGTTTAAATAAAGACCTGTAATGTGCTCTTTTAATGACTCTCACACACCATTAAGAAATCATTCTGTTCTGAAAGCCAGATCCTGTAATATTTTGAACTTTCTACATTAGAAATAGTTCACACAAAAACATTTGTTGAAAATTTACTTAACCTCCATCCAACCAAGATAGAGTTTGTTTCTTCATCAGAAGAGATTTGGAGAAATTTAGCATTATATCACTTGCTCACCAATGGGTCCTCTGCAGTGAATGGGTGCCGTCAGAATGAGAGTCCAAACAGCTGATAAAAACATCACAATAATCCACAAGTAATTCACACAACTCCAGTCCATCAATTAATGACTTGTGAATCGAAAAGCTACATGTTTAAAGATGTTTTTAACTTCAAACTGTTGCTTTCAGCTAAAATACAAGTCCTCTATCCATTATACTGTATTTCTTTCCCCAATGAAAAAGTCCTCTCAATCTGAATCAGGAAAGAAATATGCACAGGTCAAGCCTGCTTTACATGCACAAACAGTCCAAAACAGTGATTGACATGAGAGGACGAAGATAGACTAAACAGAGATAGACTTTTCCACAGGAAGAAAAGTTATTCTGGATTATGTACTCATTATTTTGGCCAGAAACAATGGTTTAAAGTTAAAACACTTTAATAATGGATCTGCTTATTAAAAACACAGCTTTTCACTTTACAAGACATTACCTGATGGACTGGATTTGTGTGGATTACTTGTGGATTATTGTGATGTTTTTATCAGCTGTTTGGACTCTCGTTCTGACGGCACCCATTCACTACAGTGCATCCATTGGTGAGCAAGTGATGCAATGCTAAATTTCTCCAAATCTGTTCTGATGAAAAAACAAACACATCCACATCTTGGATGGCCTGCGGGTAAAGTAAATTTCCAGCATATTTTTATTTTGGGGGACCTATTCCTTTAATTGCTTCAAATAGTTCATTGTACAGATATATCCCAATGTTTAAGTTTTAACATTTTTAAAAAGAAAACTTGAGCTTGTGAAAAGTAATATACCTTAAGATCCAATCTAACAATCAAAACATATGTCAAATAAGACAGGCGTAGCTCACTCAAAAATGACCCTCTCACCCTCATGTTGTTCAAACCTGTATGAATTTCTTTCTCCTGTGGAACAAAATGGCAGAAAGTCTCTTTCACTTTTACTGAATGGAAAAATGAAAGTGAATGTTCAATAACGTCCTCAGTCCCTAACAGCCTAATATCTCCTTTTGCGTCCCATGTAATAGAAGTTTTTTTTTAAATGACAGAATTTTCATTTTTGTGTGAACGTTTCCTCTAAATATCTCCGTAGTTAACATTTTCGAGTATGTTGCACAAAACAAACAGATGAAATACACAAACTGGAGCTTGAATAACTTAATCTAAAGGTTGATCATGTTTGACCAGCATTTATTCTGCAGATATGTCCTGACACATCGCAAACTGTTGACCACAAGGCCGTGGCACGAATAGCATTCCTGAAAGAGAGATGAGAAAAGGTGGCCGTACTGAAGTCTCAACAGTCAACTCTGTGGGAGTGTGAAGAAATATTTAAGAGGCACAAGCACAATGGTATTTAACAAAAATCTAACCAAAAAAAATTCAAGATTTATCCATCTGTACTAATTTGGTATTTTATACAAAACACACCGTAGTCTGATCCCATCTTGACAACCTTTCAAAATGTCCCTCTGGTTTTTCCTGTATATTTTAAGGCAGGTGAAATTTCCTCACATTGATTTAATTGTGTAAAGACAATCACATGTGGCCTAAAGTGTGTCGAGCTGTGCATTTCGTTCCCTGGCTTGATTGTTTAATTGCAAATTATTTACACAAACAATCATTCAAAAATGTCAATATGTCAAAAGTCAGTAGACAGATCACTGTAGCTTACTGTAAGAAATGCTATATATTAACCATTTTATTTTTCTGTACTGTAGAGTTTGTAAACAGAAATGAGAAATGAATAAATTTCAATCAAACGGCAGGAGCATTCTGAAATAAATAGGTTATTTTTCAAAGGCAGCCAACCTTACAATTTAAAAAAAAAAAAAAAAAAAAAAAAAAAAAAAAAAAAAGACCATGCTAACAGCACTGGAAAACCTGATGAAAAAGATGAACTGGAGGAGTAATAAATGAATCAACATTAGAACTCAAGCTTTCAAGTAGATTAATCCGGTTTCTCTTCGAAACAGTTACAGTTCCACTTGCACTTTTTAGGGTTGATCTTTCTTCTTCGAAAAAAGGTGTCATCAAAACTTTCCGAATCTGAACAATCCAAGTAAACATTACCACTGCAGCTCAGACAAGCCCTCATCCTTTCGAGCATCTCAGCATTATCCTGGTGCAGCACCAGGTCCTGTGTCACAGAGAGCCGTGGATGTGCGTCTGCTGGCAGCTAGCTGATGATCTTGCTTATGGCCTGTAAAGAGGGGAAGTCATCATCGCCGATGTGTAGGGTTTTATGGGTGTTGAAGTCTTTCAGAGCCAGCACCTGCTTACAGGTGGGACACACATGGCAGTCCAGCTCCAGGCTGTTGCTGGTAGTGCCTGTCTGCCAGGCTTTCTTTTTGTTTTTTTTGGCCTTGGAGCCTTGCTGCTGTTTCTCAAGAGCCTTAAAGTCTCCGTGGGCAGTGAGAAGCTCCTGTTGCTTGCGAGTGTCTGGTAGGAGAACAAAAAAAAAAAAAAAAAAAAAAAAAGACCATGCTAACAGCACTGGAAAACCTGATGAAAAAGATGAACTGGAGGAGTAATAAATGAATCAATGTTAGAACTCAAGCTTTCAAGTCGATTAAACCGGTTTCTCTTCAAAACAGCAACAGTTCCTCTTGCACCTTTTAGGATTGATCTTTCCCCTTTGAAAAAAAGGTTTTGTCAAAACTTTCCGAACCGGAACAATCGGAGTAAACATTACTACTGCAGCTCAGACAAGCCCTCATCCTTTCGAGCATCTCAGCATTATCCTGGTGCAGCACCAGGTCCTGTGTCACAGAGAGCCGTGGATGTGCGTCTGCTGGCAGCTAGCTGATGATCTTGCTTATGGCCTGTAAAGAGGGGAAGTCATCATCGCCGATGTGTAGGGTTTTATGGGTGTTGAAGTCTTTCAGAGCCAGCACCTGCTTACAGGTGGGACACACATGGCAGTCCAGCTCCAGGCTGTTGCTGGTAGTGCCTGTCTGCCAGGCTTTCTTTTTGTTTTTTTTGGGCTTGGAGCCTTCCTGCTGTTTCTCGAGAGCCTTAAAGTCTCCGTGGGCAGTGAGAAGCTCCTGTTGCTTGCGAGTGTCTGGTAGGAGAACCAGCAGCTCGTTGAAGACCCTGTTGAAATTCTCCCCTAGCAGCTCCTGGCAGCTTTTGTAGTACTGGACAGCAGGTATTATACCCTGCTCAAGAGGAAAATTAGAGATCAATGAAAATATTAATGGGTAATACAATGTACGTGTAAGGCAGTGTGTATCATAGGTTCTATAATGGGTCACCAGTTTACACTATTTTTAAACATTTTTTCTTCACTAGTTCATTTTGAAGGGTCCTGCAGGATGTGACAAGTGTATTTTGGAAATAATATATTTAAAAATATTTCATGTCTCAATTAACAAGCTCATAGAACTACATAATAATTACAAGGGAATTAATACAATTCGCTTAAACTAGCAAAACTAATATATAATAATAATATGTGGGATTAATATTAATTGAATTTAAATGGTCTTGGTTGGATAGGTACCTGTCTAAATTGGCCTGAATAGTTTTTGAACTCATTGAACTTGGTTTCATCATTTTGAAGATAATTCTTAATAGACTGAATAAGGTCCATGTTTCTTTGCTGGAAATTGTCGGGTATGAGGTAGGGTCCAATAGCAGGTGTCACTCTGAAAGAAAACACAACGCCTAATGAGATAAAACACTTGAATCACTTTTCTATTTTTACATTAATTAGTGATAAATTATTAAATTAGAACTTTGGTGAATTTTTAAACAATTATCTATTGTTAAATCTGAATATATTTTCAAATGCAATTTATTTCGGTGATGCAAAGCTGAATTTTCAGCATCATTACTCCAGTCTTCAGTGTCACATCATTCTTCAGAAATCATTCTAATATGCTGATTTGCTGATATTTCTGATCATCATCTTGTAATATCTTGCATTATTCTTAATATCATTTAATGGAAGTGTAAGGTAAAATAAATGTACATCAAATGTTAAATTACAGACCCAAAAAGTGCAATACAGAAAAGAATAAGAGGCCTGTGGACAAAAAAAAACCCTATCATCCCTTTTTACCCCTCAATTTTAACAAATTGTTAAAAAGAAAGTATTATATCTATTATATTTATATCAACATTCTCTCAGATACTGGCTTTATAAAATTAACCCTCAGTTTTATAGACAAGGCTTAAGTCCACTTAAGTTTACTTTAATGTCCTAATTGAACTATAGCCTAATCCTGACTTAAACTAAGCCCTGTCTGTAATACCAGGCCTAAGACTATTAAAAACATTGCTTGCCATCAATAAATAGTCAGCTTTCATGTACTCAAAATACAACAGTGACTCAAAACAGGGAACACCACTTCCCCCACATCACGCACACGTATAACCGCACACACATCACAGTCTCTAACCTGTCAACAGCCGGCATCGACGATTCCACCACATTACTGTTGAGTGGGATGCCCGTGAATCCTGGAGGAGGTTTGCTGACAACAGGCCCAAGGCCAGGAGGAGGAGGCGGCAGCACACTCTGAGTGCTCTTCAACGGAAATGCACTTTTAAAGCCTGAAAACACAAGTAGGCACTTAGAAACAATGTCATTTTGGGCACTGCCTCTTTAAGGAAAGGAACCGGCTTACCAGGTGGAGGTTTTCTGGAGATAAGTGCTGGAAATTCCTCTTCTTTGGGTGGAGGAGGTTGGTCGGTTACCGGCTGCTTTAAAGGGGAAGGAATATTTTCAGGAAATGATGTAGGGGACAGTGCTTCTGCTGGTTTCTCCGTGAGTCCGTTTATAAAGGAGTTTGTTTTGGAGGGGAGACTGTTGTCTGGTGGCTTCGTCTCGGGAACGTTCTCTTTGTGAGCCATTTTGGACACGGACTCAGGAGTGCGTGAGGGGGAACCCAGAGATGAAGTTGTGGCTTGTTTCTTTTTCTTATTGGTTTTGGGGTTGGTCTGAGATGAGCCATCTTTTACCGTCAACAAAGTGGAGATGTCAAGCATAGTCGGTACCGTGCAGATTTCCTGAGCCGTTTTACCGGTCTGGGGGTCCTCGTCATCCGATGAGGACGGACATTTGACTTTAGGTGGAGCTTTGTGGGTTTCAGCAGAGGTGAGCTTCTTTTTGCGGCGAGATGAGGAGGCAGTGAGAAGCTGAGGCACACTTCCACTGGGCGGCGGGTCACTGGCAGACAGTATGGATGAAGAGACCGTAGGAGCTGTTTTGGTGGGCAGAACCACAGGTTTATTGGAAACCACCGCAGGTTTGCTTCCAGCTTGAGACCAGGCCGATGTTGTGTTTGATTGAGACTTCAGTGGTTTGATCTTGGAGATCAGTGCAGGAAAGTCCTCCTCCTGGAAGGACGAATGTTTCTTGGGTTGATTTGTGTATGCAGGTGTCATTGGAGCGGAAACTACTGAGCCAGACAAGCTTGGAAAATCATCTTCCTTCAGAGAGACAGAAGTTTGTTTGATCTTGCTGCAATGATAGGGAGACAGACATTGTAAAATACTGATCTGATTCAATTAAACTCGATGTTTAATAGCAAATTTCTTGCTGTTGCATATAACCACAACTATGAGCCCACCTCAAATGATAATCTGACCTGCAGAAATGGCTTGGGTTCTCTCTGACATCATTTCCTGTTTTGTTCTGCATATTTGTTGGTTGCACCATATGACTTTAGCATAATCTTTTATGTCCAGCAAATCAAAGTACTTAAGGATTTGTTTTCAAGAATTCAGAGGCCCCTTTCTTTCATTATGATTTCAGGACAGCTGTATCAGCCTGACATTTTTTTATTTATGCCCATTAAAAAAAAAATTTTTTTATAAAAAAAAAAATTTAAAAAAAATAAAAAGGAAGTTGCTTTGCATGTCGGTTGCACCATGTGACTATTAATTGGAGCAAAAAAGCAATTTTTATGAAATAATAATGATTTGAGCTAGTGCAAGTTTAGCATTATTTCTGTACTATTATAAAATATATACATATATATACATTTTTAAATTAGCATTTATTTTTACTGTACATTATTTGTTATATTTGTCGTTTTAATTTTAATTGAGGTTAAATTCATTTTGTTTTTATTTGTGTTTATTTTTAATACTTTTATTTAGCTTTAATTTAATTAACTTAAAACTTTTTTTTGTTTCAGTTAGCTGCCAAGGCAACATTTCTCATTTTCATTTAGGTTTAAGTTTTTCTAATATTACATTTTTTTTTAGCTTTATTTCAATTAACAATTGCAAGACAATTATATCAGCCTGACGTTTCTGACTTTATGTCCCCCAAAAATCTAAATTTCAATACAGACATTAAAAAAAAAAAAAAAAAAAACGGAAAGCAGTGTATTCATGTCACTGAACAAATTTGAATTAATTAATATCTGGACAAAATAAAAAATCAAGAAAGCAAGCACCTTTAAAAAAGAAATGATCTTAGTATTCCTACATGGGGAAAAAATACATAAAAGAGACCCATCTTACTAAAAACAGGACAAACATACAGTACCTTTGAATTGGGGCTGGAGGTGCAGCTGCCCCTAAAACAGGGAAGTCCTGACCAGCCAAAGAGGGATTACTCTTCACTGATCGAGCTGAAATATATTCACACATGCAATTTCATCAACTTCCAAATAAACAAATAAATAAACAAACACACACATTTTCGATTGCCACACCTTGCATTTCGTTCGTCTGCTTGGCAGTGCCTCTGTTGTTTCTCATGTCATCAGGCTCCATCTTTTCCTCTTTGCGTGGCTTCTGACTGCTTCTCTCTTGCACATGGCTTCTCTCTTCCTGGTGGCTGGCCATCGAAGCTCGCAAAGCAGCTGCGATCTCTCGGTCCTCTTCCTCTCTGAGGACAACAACTCTCTCAGTCTTCCATAAGCTCTCTCATATGTCAGAATGCAGCACTGATGAGGACCTACCGATTATATCTCCAGCTCCTGACATTCTGCTGTCCTCCTGGGGCTCGTCCTCTTCCTGGTCTTCCCCGTCTGTTGAAGCGATCCACTTCCTCATAGTCATCGCCACCAACTATCAGACCTAAAACAGACATCCAGATGGGCTTGATTAAGGCATGCGACCCCTAATTTATATCCAACTCATAGAAAGAGCAAATTCAGCTTTACCGCCATTTCGTCGTTGTTGTCTGAGTGCATAGTTGAACTGAATGTCGATTTGGCGATTCTGCCGTGCCTCAGCCCGGTTTTTGCTGTGGGCAGCAGCTTTGTGAGCTTTATAGTCAATCTCTGTGCGGAAAGCATGAGTGAACTGCTCTGTACTGCAGCGGCCCTCCTGGCAGAGATAATGGCTTTCTCTGAAGTGCTCGCTGAGGTACTGGTAGTCGCTATAGGACAAAAATAATACTTAAATTAAGTGAATTAACATTTAAATTCTGTGAATATTACAGTGCAAAAAGACTGCTATGAAGTCTGCATGTTCTGCAGGTCTCCGTCTAAATGAGTGCCCCAGTTAGTACACACACTGAAGCATGAGTGATGCTAAAAAAACAAATCACAAGCTGCATCTGCCATCTCACTATATGAGGACATAAACTTCATCTCCAGAGCTGCTCTGAGAATCATTTTACGAGCATTTCACCAATTCACTTAATAAAAATATTGTTATATACACAGAAAATTAAAGGTCTTTGTGGCGACCTGTCAAAATAAAGGTTTTGTTTAACGTGCTTTTAACTTTAACAAATAATGGCAGAAATACATTACTATTGTACTGCAGAATGTATTTCTAATTAAAATTTTAATGTTTTATGCCTTATATGCCTGATTATGACAGATAATACAGGAATCCAGAAATCTAGAAAAATTAAAACAGACAACACAATTTATGAAAAAAAAAAAAAACATTTTTCTCATGGGCCTATTATTATAAAAAAATAAATGAATAAATTAAAGCTGCATAATAATAAGAAACGGAGCAATTCCAATAGGGTCCTCACACCATCGGTGCTCGGGCCCTAATAATAAGAAACGGAGCAATTCCAATAGGGTCCTCACACCATCGGTGCTCGGGCCCTAATAATAAGAAACGGAGCAATTCCAATAGGGTCCTCACACCATCGGTGCTCGGGCCCTAATAATAAGAAACGGAGCAATTCCAATAGGGTCCTCACACCATCGGTGCTCGGGCCCTAATAATAAGAAACGGAGCAATTCCAATAGGGTCCTCACACCATCGGTGCTCGGGCCCTAATAAATAAACCATTAAAATGAAATGAAAAATTATGCCCAAAAACATGACATTTGGGAAAAATAAAACAGAATCTGAGAAACAGGGCCTTTAAAAATTGTTATTAAATTGTATAGGTCCTTACTTCAATGAATGATACATGATTTAACCAAATTTTTTTATTTAACCATTAAAGTGTAACCTTGAAAAACTAAAAACGAGATAAAAAAAAAAAAAAAAAAAAAACAGAATCAAGAGAATTAAAACAGGATTTGAGGAAAAACTAAACAGATTTCATATAGGCCCAACACTACGTAAGTTTACATCCACTAATTTTCATTTATATGCTTAATTTTTTTTCTTTTTCTTTTTATTCATTCTCCTTAATTTTTTGGATGATTTCAGGTCTACACCACCCCTTTCAATTAGACTGAAATTTTATTCAAGATGAGCTCAATTAAAACGATTGAGGGGTTTATATGAAAGGTTTTTCAGTTCAACTGAGGCATCATTTGGGTGCATGACAGTAAACATGGCTACAGTGAGTTGCATTTGGAAATAAACAAATTTAACAACCAAATTAACAAGGTTAAAAAAAAAAAATAGTGAACCAGAACTGGTCTTTTACCTGTAATATTCCTGAGCTCCATCTGCGTCACAGAAATGGCAGAAGTAATGATCTCGCCGCAGGTGCTTCAATAGTTCATCGTTGTCCAGGTATCGATCATCACAGAATTTACAAAGCGGATGCCCACGATGCGAGGTATCATCCGGGTCCCCTTGCGTTCGATGTCGAGCCAGGTCTTTCCGACTGTACCACTTCCTCTCGTATGAGAATATCTGTACACAGAGCAAACTATTCATTGAAGGAATAAGGAGTGTGCAAACAAAATAATAATTTGTTAAAATGCAATACTCTACCTTCAGGTGCTTTGCACATAACTTGCAGCAGAAGAGTTCATGTTGTTTCCGCATATGCTGTTCTAATTCTTCAAATTTGGAGAACACTTTTGGATCTGGGCATTGTGGACATTCATGTAACAAAATCTTCCTGCATTTGTTGTAAAAGAGCTTGTAAGGAACAAATTTCAAATATTGTTGATTTTTAGCTGAAAAACAGGACTGGCAATGATGCACTTTTTATTTGGCAAGTAAACTGCCGAAAGATGACGTCAAAGTTGCTTAAACTGTCTATTTCAATGAGTTGATTCAAAACTAGTGCAACTTATGTCATGTCAGGTTCAAAAATATCCAAGTCTGTGCCATTTTTTATAGATTTACGTATTCGCACAACAAATTTAGGTAAATATCGCAGTTCATTATTGTGCATTGTTACATTATTGTTTTAATACAATATATTCTGGAACATATAAGCATAGTTTTTAAATACATTTTCCTTTGTGGTTCTTCAGAAAAAAACATGGGAATCCTGCCTTGATTATTTTCAACAGAATGTATCTCATCCATTTTATTCTTACATTAAAACTTTTCAATCTACAATGAATGTTTAGTTGAAACAATTACTGAGCAAATACATTCATATACAGAATATTGTCAAAAGGATCGTTTTTCTCATCCCGGCTGAAAAAAAGTTCATACCTGAACTGTGCATATATCTTTCCATCTGCAAAGTATGTGTCAAATTTCTTCTCATACTGGTACTGATGAATGTTCAGAGCGGCAAAGGGCTCAAGTTTCTTTATGAAGACCACCTGGAAAATCAGAAAAAAATAAAATAAATAATAAATATATTTTTTTTTAATTACAGAAGAGAAAAAAACAAGTATTTTTTAAGAATGAAACACTCCTTCTAGAGCATGAACAACGTTGTCAATTAAGCAAAAAGGACTAAATAATAAATGTTTTAAATTTCAGACTTGCTGATTAATGTAACTTGTGTTTAACAGGCCAATTAGAGAGGCACGCACTCTTGATTGATTGTCACGTGAGTCACGCAGAGTCAACATGACTTCGCACGTTGACAGGCTGTCAGAGAAAGCACACGTTGTCTAGTGGATTCTAGCGAGAGTTATCTGAAGCTGATTACACAACAGCACAATTCAGCTGAGCGGTCCCAAAATCACGTCTAATTATTAAAAAATAAATTTAAAAAAAATTGTACTTTGTTCCTGATATAGCCTTGCCTCTCATATTTGTGACCCTGGAGCACAAAAGCGGTCTTAAGCAGCACGGGTATATTTGTAGCAATAACCAGCAAAACATTGTATGGGTCAAAATTATTGATTTTTTCTTTTATGCCAAAAATCATGAATATTAAGTAAAGATCATGTTCCATGAAGAGAGTGTAAATTTCCTACCGTAAATATATCCAAACTTATTTTTTGATTAGTAATATGCATTGCTAAGAACTTCATTTGGACAACTTTAAAGGCGATTTTCTCAATATTTTGATTTTTTTGCACCCTCAGGTTCCAGATTTCAAATAGTTGTATCTCGGCCAAATATTGTCTTATCCTAACCATCCATATATCAATAGAAAGCTTATTTGTTCAGCTTTCAGATGATGTATACATCAAATCATATGTTAACCCCCGTGAAGTAAACTACAGCGTGAAGGACTTACTGTAGCCAACTAACGCTAGTGAGCTGCTTGGTTGTCACGGGAAACGTCAGGCAATAAATCACCACTGCTACAATAAACCAGCTCACTTCTAAAATAGAAACAACTTTCCAAATGTATCTACAATCAAAAACAGAGGTCATAACAACAATTAGTCAAACAACTACCTCAATTTCACTTGTGAAAGATGAGACAACTGAGCTAAACTTTTTCCTGACAACTTCTCCACACTGCTAGCTTGCTAGCGACAAACACGGCCGCTCCCATTATAAGTGTATGTAGCCCAAGTTACTGGTGCTGTCGCCAGGCTGCGGTGTGTGTGTGTACCTGTTTTTCTATGCTGGTGGGGACTTAAACCTGAATACACAGACTCATGGGGACTCGTGTCACGGTGGGGACCTAAATTGAGGTCCCCACGGGTAAACAAGCTAATAAATCACACAATGAAGTTTTTTGAAAATCTAAAAATGCAGAAAGTTTCCTGTGAGGGGGTAGGTTTAGGGGTAGGGTTGGTGTAGGGCAATAGAATATACGGTCTGTACAGTAGAAAAACCATTACACCTATGGAGAGTCCCCACAAGGATAGCTGACCAGACATGTGTGTGTGTGTGTGGCGGCCGAGGCCTGCGCTCGCTGCTGGAGGAGAGGCGGCGGCACCTTGTCGAGCTGCTCCCGGCAGACGGCGCAGTACTTCTGCTCGCACAGCAGCCGCATCTTGGTGGAGCAGCGGTAACACACCGGGTGATCGCACTTCCCCACCGCGAACAGGTCGATGTCCTGGCAGCACAGCACACATGTGCTCTCCGCGTCTCTCTTGGCGGTGGACTCCATACTGTTGGAAGGCGCTGGCTGTGTGTGCTGGAGTGTTCTTCTCCTATAATCCGCGTGGATTTGGACGGCTTGTAAACGACAGTACGGGCGGTGAGGCCGGGTGAAGCGCGGTCCTGTGTGTGCGTAATCGTTCAACGCAATGCATTGTGGGGAGCGATAGGCTTGCCGTAGACAGGAAGAGCTTTTATTCTGACACACCGGACTTTTATACCGCATACCTTTGCGTGGATTACATGACAATAATATAAGAATTATATTAATATGATTTATTATTATAAAGATTAATAAACATGTAATTATATTTATATTTAATAATATTATATAGATACGATGTAATTAGATGAATTAATACAAATATAATATAATAAACAATATGATGCATTATACATATAAATGTAGTAATAATAACAATAGGTATATGTGAATTATATTAATATCAAAATATGATACCTGTATTAACATGGCTTAATGAAATGTTAATAAGCAAAAATAATTAAACAATATGATTTATTATACATATTACTAATAATACAATTATAGTATAATTTGGCTTTTGGCCTATTTCATCTCGTAAAAATGTATAAAATAATTTTTGAAATAATATATTGACTTGATATTCATTATATAGTAAAATAATTTCACAATAAAATAAAACATTTTAATTACCAAAATAATATTAATATTTATTAATAATAATAAATATTTAACTCTCACATTTTGCTCTCAGCTCTGTTACGCTGTATAATTTCCCTTCATAACAGAAATTAGAGCATTCCTAAAAACTGTGAAACCAAACAAGTAACAACATTTAGACTTTTTCCTGTACAGCACAGCTAGATGAAAAGTAAATAATCACATTTTTATCATTTTTTTTATTATTTACTGCAGTCACCTGGCTCAACCACTCATTATTGATAAAATCTTTGTTTTATCAATAACAACCCAAATTAACTCGCCCCTACTTATATATATATATATATATATATATGCATGTGATACCACTAATAGTTTTCTAACACCATAAATGCATGCATACAATGACAAATACTCCACAAGAGTCATACAGATGTGTGATGAAACTTTATTCAATACAAAATACATAAATAGAGCATCTGCAGGTGAAATCAGTGGCAGAAAATATTTGTACACTTAGAAATACATTTATATATGCAGACAAATAAGCTGCGGTGACAAAAAGAAACAAAATAGGGCAACTCACCATCAACTGCAAAAAACTATTTAACCTCTCCCAATCCCTTTTATGACAGCCATAACCAATTTGATTAGCATAATTAAAATAAGAATATTTATTTCCTTGGCTAAACAAATTTCCCTGTCCAAGTTCAACAAATATTCAAAATTCAAAAAAACTATCAAGTAGTCCATACACAGGACCATAACCTTTTCTCTCTTTAAAAAAAAACACAATCTGTGATTAATGAAACTGTCAGCTAAATAGCTCAAACAGCCTCGATACGTGAAGACCAAATCATGGTAACAAATCTACACATAAATATAAAATTCAATAATATTGCTTCAATTAGCAAATATATGTGTGAGCTTTTTAAAGAGAGTGATGCAGTGCACATTAATAATGTATGGTTTGTTGTGAGTGGTGTTGTTTTCTGAACCCTAATGCTCAAACTGTATTCAGACAGACTGTGTGAGGTGTGAGGCTGGTTTATGCAGGTGCGGTCTTGAAGGCGCTCCATGCGTGGAAACAGCGGCTGAAACAGTGAGGCTCGTTGCCCTTGCGCACCAGGCGCAGTTTTCTGGGGTGCTCTGCATCCTTGGACCTCATGTGCTGAATATAGACCTGATTGAAGGGTGACACGAATGTTAAGCAGGCACAGGAAAGGCCTGAGGGCAAGCGTGTATGTGTGCAAAGATAAAAACTAAGTGCTGGTGTACAATAAAACTGCCACTGACCTGACAAGCCTTCAAGCTCAGTTTAATCTCCACTTGGCTTGTCTGTGTGCCAACCCACATATAAACCTGCGAAACAAGCAAACAAACAGCTCAGCAACGGAAACCACTACTAAGAGAATCTGTTTGACTGCAAACATGAAGCTCTACCTCTTTCCCATTGTCCAAAAGCATGATGTCGTCATCGGCCAGGTCATCTTGACAGAAGTCTGAGCACTTCTCTGATACAGCAAAGTAACCCTTCTCATTGGAGCACCTGAGACAAAAGGACAAATCTATTAAAACCTCAGAAATATGGTGAATGTATTACATATGACAAAATGCAAAAAAATATAAGAAGTTACAAAACCAGTACATTTACACTACCGTCTAAAAGTTTGGGTTTGGTAAGAATTTTATGATAAGTTTCTTATGCTCACAATGGCTACATTTGATCAGAAACACAGTAAAAGCCATAATATTGTTAAATCTCATTACCATTTAAAACATGTTTTTTTTTTCTTTTTGAATTTCTATTTTAAAAGTGTAATTTATTCCGGTGATACAAAGCTGAATTTTCAGCATCATTACTCCAGTCTTCAGCGTCACATGATCCTTCAGAAATCATTCTAATATGCTGATTTGCTGTTTAAGAAACATTTCTTATTATAATCAATGCTGAAATCAGTTGTGCTGCTTAATATTTTTGTGGAAACCATGATACCTTTTTTCTTCTTTGATGAAAACTTCAAAAGAACAGCATTTATTTGACAGAGAAATCTTTTGTAACATTGTAAATGTCTTTGCTGTCACTTTTGATCAAATTTAATGCATCCTTGCTGAATAAAAGGCATTCATTTCTGACTCCAAACTTTTGAACAGTAGTGTATTTAAAGTCCCCCTGTGGTCAAATATTTTATTTTGCCACGGGTTATAATGCAAGTTAGCGGTTCTAAATTCACATTAATCCATGGCTTCATGGGTTTTTTTGCTCACTATTCCCTGGTTGTCTGTACTTTCAAATGGCACCTACACAAATAACGTTTGAGTTATTAACTGTTTATAAACCACTGCAAATGATCTTTATTCCTTTATACAACCTTTTCATGTGTATATATATAATATATATATTATAAATCATCAAATAATTATAAAGTACATTAATGTTTACCTTCAGTATGAAGCAGAATTCAGAGTTGAGGTTACTGGAATCTGTGGCTATTTGAATAGTCCTAAAAACACAACAGAAACACCACACATGTAAATTCTTTTATTCTAGACATAGCAGATGAAAATATGCTAGCTGGACATAACATATAGTTACCTGGTGCATAGCGCACTTCCATTGGTTCTGATGTGGTATAAGCTTGGCTGCACACTGTCCACTTTTAGCTTCCTCTTGCCTTTGTGGATGATGAACTTCCTCTTGAAATGGGACAAAAACTTAAGATTCTCCTGCTGCTGGGTCATCCTCACAACCTGAAATATACACAAGATGATGACGACGTCTTAAAATAAAAGTCATAACATTCATGATACATATGAGGATTACATAGTCAAGGCAACAGGATGAACACAATGAAGTTACATTTCATAACATGTACATTAACCATGCAAACATGTGGTACCTCCAGTTTGCCTGGGAACAAGCTCTCAAACTTCTTCTGCAGGCTGAAAGTGAAGGTCAGCCAGCCCATGTTGGATGCCTCACGGCCCTGCCAGAAGTAAACCACACACTGGAAGTCTTCTTCAGGCTGTTTGTCCTCATTGTCTCCCTCTTTCTCTTTGTCTTTCTCCTGATCGTCCTCATACTCGACTGGCACCCAGTACCTAAAACACACACAAATATCCCATTGTTTTATTGAAACATGAAAGTTTGAAGTATTTAAACAGTGGTCTCAAACTTAATTCCTGGAGGGCCACAGCTCTGCAGAGTTTAGCTCCAACCAGCTCCAAATCACACCTGCTTGGAAGTTTCTAGTAAACCTGAAAACCTTGATTAGCTGGATCAGGTGTGTTTGATTAGGGTTGGAGCTAAACTGTGCAGAGCTGTGGCCCTCCAGGAATTGCGTTTGAGACCAATGATCTAAAACAATTAAGTTATTTTTTTTTAGTTAGTACAAATCAGGGGTTGCACCGACTAATCGACTTCAATGCTCTGCCATGACGCTTTAAGCTTGACGTCGACTAGTCGCTGGTCCTATAGAGGGCACAACAGGATAAGAAATCTTTGAAGGACTTCCACATTTACTCTCCGTTTCCAAACAGTTCAAATGACAAATAAATGCATACTCTGAAAGCGCTCCACAAGACGTGTGATTATATTACTGGATGCTCGAAATTGAACGGGAGAATGCACGTTTTAAACAGCTTATTGTACAGGTAAGTTAATCGCTGTTCTGATCTAATGCGCTGCTGCACTGTAACGCACACACATAGGCTACAGACAGTAGCGCGTATATCACGCACAGATCGCGAGCACACGGAATCATTCAGCACAGAAATGTATTGTCAACACTGTTCTGTGATTTCTCAATAAAATAGCTTAGAAACTGAAAAGTTCAAGCATATATTTCTTAATAACTAAATTCCACAGCTTCACTACTAGTAGAGAGACGCTGCCAGGTAGAATTAATTCACACACGCAATCGCTCTCACTAATGCATTCATATTAATATAATCTTTACTGTGCTGCTTTATCTGTATCTGATTTAGAACGAGCAGAAATCTGTGAGAAATATAACGACCCAAAGACAAAAGAACTGATAAAAGAGCTGTTATAGGAGCAACAGCCATGTGAGCAGCGCTGTGTCATATACCATAGCTGTGCACAAGGTGTTTGTCACAGCTCCAGACTTATTTGTTCATTAATGATGTCATCAGCGACTAGTCGACTTCATCACATAAAAGTCGACTTTAAAAAAATCAGAAGTCGTTCAACCCCTAGTACAAATCAGTAAAGCCCAAAACACACTGCACGATTTTAGCAATCCTATAAGATCATTGCATGTCACACTGTGCGAAATTGTTTTAATAAACTTGGCTACGACGTGTGTGTTGACTGTACGATGATGACACCTATTGACTTGTACGCTACGACGCACATTATTATAGAAGAATAAAACGTCATCAGCATGCGCTAGTGGTAAACAAAAAGAGCATGATAAATCACACTTTAGCAGTTGTAGTTTTTATGTGCGCTGGAAAAAAGTGGAAGTGACGAAAGAGGAAGGGATAAGAGCTTGAGCTAAGCAGTTTTATGTTTTAGCGCCATGTCGCATTTTTATTGGTTGGTCAGTAAACGTGGATCGTACCAGCAAACACACTGTGTGATGATCATGCTGTATCGTAGACTATCTTTGGTCGCAAGACCGTGACAATGGCTGTCTTTGAACCTCTCTCACTGTACGACACAGGACGACCGATTAGGAGCCACAGAAATCGCCACGATTGTTTTACGATGCCCATCTTTCTGTCCTGTCTGGGACAGCCAAAAATCGTGCAGTGTGTTTAGGGCTTAACATGCATAAATTGACACCAGCACACCGAGGATGAGATTTAATGGAAAGGGTGTGCTATGTCTTTTTTTGGCGTCTAATGATTTCATCTAGTTAACAATCATTATTCTGTCCATCTCAGAATTGATGGATTTTTGCAGTTCATTTTAGTGAAACCCTCTGACCAACCTGCAGAGAAATACGTAGCAATCCTGAGTATAAAAGTGACCAAACTCCTCCTCTGGTAAACGGGCAAACTTCTTCCCCTCCAGAACGAATCCCTCCATGCCATCCAAATCCTCGTTCCACTCCTCCATCATCTGCTCCGCCTGTCCAAGTTACAACAAACCCAAAAAGACAATGAATTTTACAGAACTGTAGCAGAAAATGAAAGGTTCGGCTGTTTAATGAGCTGGTAATTCAAGTCTTACCTCTGTGAGAGGCATTGCTGGCTGTCTAGGAAGGAACAGAGCTGTTAGGTCGGCTTTCATCTGGTCCTTCTGCTCTGCATCCTTCTTCACCTTTCCACTCAAGCCCTCATTTTGCTTTACACTCTCTGCGTTCCTGGTATAATCCACCTTCAACACGTCATCCCAATTCTTGAATTTGGATTTGAAGACCTGTTGAGTGTAACATGGTAATATAACAGGAATTAGAACGCTCTTTAAAAATGTGGTTTTGTTTAAAAGAATGACTGTAAATGTAAATTACGGTTTATTCTTTTATTTTGTCAATTTTACCTGGCACTCTGTGCCCTCCAGATTACGGATGACCACGGCATGTTTTGGCCGATGGAGCATACTGCACACCTCTTGGCCCAGCTTCAATGCAGCTGCCCTCACAAGTCGTGGGGACTTACGGCCAATCCAAATGAAGACATCAGACCAGCAATCTAAGATGTAGACACCTTTAGTGTCTAAAAGGCCTTGTACCTTAAACAAGATATTCCACCAGTTAAGTGCTTTTCAGGGCCAATTAAAAAGTACAACACTAATAATTAACAGATTTTAAAAATTGTGAAATATTACAGTTTAAATGAACTATTGTCTATTTTAATACATTTTAAAATATATTTTATTTATATTTTTGTGGAAACAAAGATACATTTTTTTCAGGTTTATTTGATGAAAACAAAGTTCAAAAGAACTGCATTTATTTGAAACAGTACTTGAAACTTTTAAACTGTTAGACAAATTTGTCACTTTTGATGAATTCAATGCATCCTTGCTAAATGAAAGTATTCATTTGTTTTTTAAAGAAATCTTATCGACCCCAAAATTGCAAAGGTGTACATATTCAGTTTTTATGCTGCTAAAATCATTATGTAAATGACAAATCAGAGCAGTCTAAACTCTGCATTACCAGTCTTTGCTCTGGAACCACATCTAGCTTGAGCTTGTCCTTGTGCTCCACAGAGAGTTTGTAGTTGATCTGAGGAAGTTCAAGGTATCCCAAGCCCAAACCAACCTAACAGACCAAGAAAGTACAAAATATTTTACAACATAGTGGTTTTGGAAAGGAATACATGACAAATAATAGACAATTCCCTGACCTTATAGAGCTTGGGTCGAACAGGAGTGAAGTCATCTGGGACATGTTTCTTGATTTCCTCAGGCTGTCCCCCAAGAACTTCCCAGAACTCTGGAGGTTCGTGATTCTGCATCAAAGTTGTAATCTCTGCTTTGCTTTTTCGCTCATTTTTGTTGATCTTCTCAGCAAATAACCTATAAATAACATAAGCACTACTACAAATCTGAACCACAAGAGAGGGGAAAACGGCTTATTTGTTTGCATCTTACCTTGCTTTTGTAGTCCCACCAAGTGTTGCATTGCCTCCTCTCCAAACAAATATCTCAAGACCAGCGTCCAACAAAAAGACAAACCTTGAAATCAGAGAGAGAACAACATTATCAGACTAAATCACTCCCATCAAAATACATAATTCAGCAAACAGCACATTAAGCTCACCGGGGGTCGAGTGAGGATGCTTTCAGAGGCACAGATTCTAGTCTGATGTTCTTTTTCCCATAAACCCTGTACAACCTGCCCAAAACACAAAACACACAGGATTAGAGCGAGTCAGATCAGGGATGTACTGGATAGGCTGTCCTGGGTGTTGTTTTTGGTGGGGCACCTGGTTGGGTATTGAGTGTCCTCTACTGAGTAAAATCCACTGGTAGTTCCACCCTCAATATAAGAAATCTCATTGTTGAACACCTAAAATGACACCGTACAGAAAAAATATATGCTGATCATAATGCAAAAATACAAATTTTGTGTAGAAAATAGTGTTTGTTTTACTGACTGCAGTGAATTCTTCACTCTCGTCTCCCATCTCCTCTCTGATAGTCCTGCACTCAGCACCCAAATAATTACGGAGGTTGACAGCATGGATGGCAGAGCCGGCTTTCTTATCAAGGGTAGCTTCCTGCCCGATCCAGTAATAGATATGCCAGTTCAGGGCTCCATTGTCATCTAAGAACGTCTGTAAAAGTGCATTACAAAGCATTCATTGAAAGAAGTGTTGCAGACTGGATGCAGATCTCATTAAAAAAAACAATACGTAAATTACAGTACATTTAAGAAACAAGAAAAAAAAATTACAGGCCTGACCTTGAGAACAATGTAACAGTCTGCCTCATAGAACTTCCCATGGAAGGCCTCGTCCACCTGGATGGGTATAAAGTTTTCAATCTGCCAAACCGCAACACCAGGGATATGGCCCACATCCTCCATGAAGAACTCAGAGTAATCCAGTTGCGGTTTCTCCAGGTTCTTGTCCCATCGTTTGGTTTTCAGATCAGAGTATTTCAAGTCTCCATTCTCCTAAAAGATTGTGAGACACATGAAGACCAGGAATGTTTGGACATGTACCATTATAAAGGTTCCCCCATGAGCTCTGCTGTTCCCCTACCTCAATGGATTTGTTCTTCTCCTGAGCCACATCTGACATTCCCTTCAGCACCTGTTTAGCCTGATCATCCTGGGCTGAGTCCTTGCGTCTCCTTAGCCTCATTTTTCTGGCCATATGGTCTCTTGGGCTATTTCCTGCATAACACACAAAGATTATGATAATACACATTTAGATTTTATGTTTTGTTACTTCGAATTCAGGATACTGAGCCAACAAAGGTTAGGTACATACGCACAACAACAACACCACCACCACTCTTAGAGAGAGAAGCATATATTGTACCTCCACCAGCTGCTGCCACAGTGGCTGGAGACGCCCCAGCCAATCGCAGTTGGTTCTGCAATGAGAAGTCTATGTTGTACCACTCAGCTGTCCTGTCCACTGGTTTAGGGGGCATTACTAGATTTGGATTCTCACGGACATCCAAAACCTAAAAAAAAACAGTGTCACAATAACACCTTTATTCAGCATTTATTTACTTTTTTAACATATGCATGAGTGTTTGTTGCTTTACTCTTGTAAGTACATAAAAAACATATTGTAATGTTTAAAAGTTTGGGGCTGGTAAGATTATTAAAATGTTTTTTAAGAAATCTCTTAAAAGAACTGTTTTCTATGTTTTAAGAAATTAAAATATTTTTTTAAATGCTGATTTGGTGCTCAAGAAACATTTCCTATGACTATCGATGTTGAAAATTGTTTAATATTTTTGTGGAAACTGTGATCACTCAGGATTCTTTGATGAATCGAAAGTTCAAAAGAACAGCGTTTGTTTAAAATAGGAATCTTTTGTAACATTATAAAAGGGAAAAAAAAAAACTACTGGCCCCAAATGGTAGTGTAGGTAATAATAATAATAATAATATTTTTTTCCTTTTTTAATAAAGTGTTCTTACCTCTAGGGCAGTGAGGAAATGAATGGCCTCTGGTAATGTCACAAGCCGGTTCTTGTTCAAAACCAGCTTTTTCAATTTTCCACACCTGAGCAAATCATAAAGCCACATATTATTATCATCATCGATATCATATACATTGGTTTTATAAATGATGTCAAACTACCAATAAACTGTGTCAGTTCTCACCTGCAAAGCCCCTCTGGAACAAGCTCTAAATTATTATTTGCAGCCATGAACTCAACCAGGTTGGACAATTTCCCCACACCAGATGGAAGCCCATCAAAATCAATTTTGTTCGAGTTCACATACAGCTTCTTCAGCTTAGACAGCTTGCAAATGGCAGACTGCATATCACATCAAACGGGGGAAAAAAAGAGACAAGATTAGCAACACGTCATCAAATATATCAATGTAAGCTGAATGACAATACTATTAATGTGATGAAGCATTATCTCCTGCACATGCACAAAAGCACACTTTCAAAGCCAAACAACATCTGATAAGTGCTACGTTCCTCTGTTTGACTTTTTATGGCAATGAGGGACTTACAGGCAGGGATGTGAGCTGATTCCTAGAAAGGTTGAGCGTCTCGAGTTTGGTCCACTGATCTATGCACAGTGACAGTTCAGAAATCTGATTGCTGCTCAGATTTAGCCGTTTGAGATTAGCCAGCGAATACAAGCATTCTGGTACCCGAGACAGATCATTGCAGGACAGGTCCACGTCTACACAGAGACACACAAGATTCATTATACATGGAGCAACAGCAATTATTGATACAGACACTGATGATTGTTTTACAGAGAGCAAAGTAACACCCCTGGATCTCTACCTGCTAGGTTGGTGAGGCCCTCCAGACTCGTGGGCATATTATTTTGAGTACGCTGAGTGTTCCTTAAATGAAGGGTTTGAAGGGCCACCATAGCAGGTAACTGCCTGTTACGACAGAGTTTATCAGAGGCAATGCTGGTAACACAATGAGGTCATCTGAAATGAATGTAGCCTTCCTCCTATATGGCAGTCTACATAGATGGAAATAAAACAAATCATAAAAACCATCCGTCTTACCTCAGCTGTGCGTGCATGAGTGGATTATTATTGAGTATGAGGGTCTGCAAATGGACCAAGCGTCTCATCTGAGGCGGCAGACTGTCTAAATTATTGTCACTTAGGTCCAGGTACAGTAGATCAGTGAGGTTAATGAACAGCTGATTTGGTATGTTATCAATGCTGCGAGAAAGAGCAAACATCAGAGATGAGTATCAGATTACATTTGTGATCACAGAAATCCACGGTTGAAATCATTATGATGACAAACCCCCTTCCCCAAAAAAAGGATGTAGAAAAGTCATGTAAATATCCCACTGGCATTTTTATATTAAACACACATTTTTTTAGTCATGTCAAGCTCTACATTTTTTTTATCAGGTAGAAATTGTGGGTAAAAATATTTTAAAAAATCATTATCATTGATTCTTATCCAGTAAATCACAAACACTTAGAAATGTCATGGGGCCTTCAGATACAGTTGTGGACAACGTGAGGGCCTTGGAGGTAAAAAGGTTGAGAACCACTGATATAGATGGATGCTCCATTGGGTCTTCATTGGGTTTTCAGCATCTTGTGCCATATGCATAGCATTTCTAAGATGGTGTGTGAAGTTAAAAATAGTTAAACTTTTAAAAACATGTCTCAAGATCCCTGCGTTCTTTTCCACTCCTTCAGTTAGCACTCAGTCTAGCTATTACTGGGCACAAAAATGCATCCTTTGAGTAGGCCCCCCAAATCCTCCTCCTAAGATATTATCCAAAATACCATGATAACAGATCAAAATATACAACAACAAAAAATTAAATAAATGTGTGTTTTCATGAGTGATGATTATTCCTCACTTCCAAGAACTTGGACCATACCTATTGTGACTGAGGTTTAAGACCAACATGTTTCTGGAGTTCTCCAAATCCCGAGGGATTTCTGTTAGTTGGTTGTAGCTCAGATCCTGAACAGAAGAGGGAAGAACACATCTAAACACACATATATTTTAACCATAATACAGCACATAATCCATGACAAATTCACATAGTTTCACTAATCAAGACACATACCTGTTTACATAAAATTAAATAATTTTGCACTTAACCGAGATATATACTTCATCCACCCAAGAGAGAAATAAACACAAAGTAATTCTCCACATACCAGCACAGAAAGATCATCCAGCTGAAAAATATCATCAGGAACACCAGAGTTCTTCAGGTTGTTTGCTCTGGCCACAACCGCCTACAGCAAAACAACAAGGGCAGATTAAATGCTGGTCTGAGCATTGAAAATAAATACAGTAAAATTGTGGAAAATAATGCTGTGATAATTCAAAATACAGTTCAAAAATTTGGGGTCAGTAAGATTTTGTAACATTTTTGAAAGACGTCTTATGCTCACCAAGGCTACATTTATTTGACCAAAATCATTTCAATATTTTACATTAGATAAAATATATTTTATAAAATAAAATATTTGTAATTTGTAATTTATTCTTGCGATTTTGCAAAATTGAATTGCTCCATTATTCCAGTCTTCAGGGTCAAATGATCCTTCAGAAATCATTCCAATATGTTGATTTAGTGCTCACAAACATTTTTATTATTATCATCAGTAGTAACACTTTACCATGATATACTTTTCATGATTCTTTGATTAAAAGAAAGTCCAAAATAACAGCTTTTATTTAAAATGTAATACTTTGAAACATTAAACAAAACATTCATAGAAATATTTTGTATTATTATAAATGCCCTTACTGGCACTTTTAATGCATCCTGGCTGAATAAAAGTATTAACATCTTTCAAAAAACAACAACAACAACAACTTCTGACCCCAAACTTTTGAAAGGTAGTGTATGTAAACAGTTACATATATATATATATATATATATATATATATGTGTATGTATATATACTTATGTGAAAAGTAGGCAGAGGAACATGTGATTGACAGTATTATGAAATATTTCACATTACCCTCAGGTTGGGAAGACTTGACAACTCTCCATGCAGCGTCGTCAGGCTGTTGTGACTCACGGACAAATGTTCCTGATTTCACACAAGAGACCCAAGAATGAGCATTGACAGTCTAATCGCAAAATATGAAATTGTGACTCAGTGTTGCAATTGACAATCACCAGTTTCTGCAGGGAGGACAGTTCCTCTGGAAGATAGCAAAGCCCCGTTCTGTTGAGCTTCAGCCATCGCAAGCTGGTCATAGACTTGACATGCTCCGGAAAATAACCCCCCTGTGTTCAACAGAAGAGACAAAAGCATTACAGTCTCAAATCTGACCATCATGAGTCATACAAGTCGGTTTCTGTGTCAGTGATTTGGCCGTTTTTGATGGATCTGCTACACTGATGTCATTTTCCATACAGTCCTACTGGCTTCAGTCTGAAGCCTAAATTCGATCTAAATCAAGCTAAACCTGGTGCAATGATGTCAGTTCAAAAACTCAGAGAGATTATGGGGTGTGTTTGCTATAGCAACAACATGAGCCTGAGCTAGAAAACTTGCATGCTGTTCCCAGTCATCTCCAGATGAGCAGATCTGACTGAAGTGGCTTTACATAAGACAGAGACTCACAGAGCATCAGCACAAATTTACTCAAGTGAACTGACACACTTGAGTGCTTGTGTAATACTGCTTAAGGAACTCATGTTTTATTCTGCATTTAACATACTTAAAAAACAATCTTATTTTTCATACACATGATACCGTATGTTGGACTCTCTAACTAACGTTAGTCTAAAAGTAGCTCCAACATGTTTTGAAAGCCCATGTCAGCAGCGCAGTTCATTTATCGAGGCCAGACGCATTACAAAAGCGTCAACCAACACATCTGACTCGCTAACAGACTTCTAGTTATTTCCTTGCTGTCACAGTTTGATTGACCGCGACAAATTTTGACAAGTCGCGAGCTAACGCCCAGTGTTCTGAGCTAGCACTGCTAGCTCACCATCTCAACCTGTTTTGACACGGTGACTAACCTACATCACTTTCCTCGCCTGAGCGAATGATTTATTTACAATACCCAGTACATATAGACGTATTAAAGAAGAACTTTTACCTTAAAGTCATTCCCACTTAGGTCTACTCCCCTGATAAAGGGGAGAACTCCGGTCGCGGCCATGTCTAATTCAGGATGTGGCAGCAGTCTATTTCTGTTTGGCAGCGGCTGCTGGTGGAGCAAACACACTCCCCCGCTCACATAGTACAGCCCACTAACTGTTTAGCGCTACCAGCCACTCACAAAAAAGTTCTTTCCGTTTCAATAAAATAATAACTGTTAGTTAAACCCGCCCGTGCTAAGCTACACCCTGCTGCAGTTGACTCAGAACTGATTCTTTGATGAATCATTTGCAGTGCCATAGACACACGGACAGGGCCTGAGACAAAAATATGATGGGTTGACTGCCTGCCTCTCTTGGGATAATGGGCCCCCCTCGTCCTAGGGCCCATCATAACATTCCCAGTTCAACCTCGACTCCGGCACTGGTCATTTTTGGGATTTTTTTGTTTTTGTTTTGTTTAGCATTTTATGCTACTGAGTCCATATAACATTTACATTACATGTATGCATTTAGCAAACACGTATACAAAGCAACTTAAAAAAAAGAGGAACGAAATTCCTCAACAATATATACTTACATACGTAAATGCCTAATGTATATAAACTACACGTACTGCATGTTAACATAATTACCATAAGACTAACAATAGAAATAAATTTGCATAAAATACATAGTTCATTAGTAGGCCTATTACTCACTACTCACTTTAAAATACTTACTGTAATGATACAATAATATAAAAAGTGACCAATTATGGTATTTAGAATGCATTATTAATAACTTTTTCTGATAAACCTTTTAGTTCAGCATTTTACATGTAGTATACAGTAAATGTCAGACTGTGTAACACTACCGTAGGTCATGCAATATGTAAACAATTTACTCATCATGAGAATAAATGACGACACAAAATAAGTCATGTTTTACTTAAAATAACTTTATTTTACACAATACAATTTATTATACACATAAAAATAATTAAACATATGATAAGATTAATTTCATTTACATATATTTTTCATTTTACAAAAATTGCAGGAACCTTTTTTTTTTTTCATCTGCCCTGTGGACAGGTGACCCGTGTGTGACCCGGCTCATGACATATTCCACAGGTTCTCGGCCTTTTGGCAGTGGGAGGTTTGTTTGAGGTAGCGCTGGCCTTTTTGTTCCCAGGAGGTCTGGCACCATTTCCTCCAGAGAAAACTGTGGCTAAAAAGTGACAGGAAATGGAAATTATTAGCAAAAAAGACAATATTGGAGAAATTATTGGCAACTGAAATATTTACATTTCTTTGAAACCATATAAAACAATGCCTAACTGTTGTTTTCTTCCTCCACAAAATGTAGCACAATCAGCCATTTGGAACATACTTGATGTTTAATATGTGGTCTAGATTTTGCAGCACAAACCGACATAAATAGAAAACAAGCGACTGACAAAATGTCTCAAAAAATGTCGCACTTGATTTAAATTTGATCATTTATTCTTGTGATGGCAAACTGAATTTTCAGCATCATTATTCCAGTCTGTAGTGTCACATGCTCCTTCAGAAATCATTCTCATATGCTAATTTGATGCTCAAGATCAACTTTCTGATTAATAGAAAGCTTAAAAACATATTTGATATATTATATACATATAATAAAATATATTTGAAATAGAAATCTTTTCTAACATAAATGTCTTAACTGTCAAACTTTTTGATCAATTCCTTGCTGAATAAAAGTATGAATTTCTTTAAGAAAAAAAAAATCTTACTGACCCTAAACATCTGTACAGCAGTCTATGTATGAATGATCCTATTCAACATATTCTGATCATATTTTGCCCATGTATATACAATTTTCAGTGCAAAACATTATACCTTGAGCCACATTTTCGTTCGCCCACTGGAAGAACCCACACTGCTGATCACGTGGTTTCCCGCAGGTGTGGAACATTCGCCCCTTGTTTGGCCCATCTTTCATGACGGTCCTGGTCACTGCAGGCTCATTACAGTTGCACATAGTTTCACCATCATCACCTCCAGATCCTCTGTTGTTTTGCCTCTGCTGAGGTACGTTCCCAAAGCCAATTGAGGGCCTGGGAGGTTGGGAATTCTGACTCAGGGGTCCACTGCTCCCTCCGGGCGCTGCCTGCTCAGCTGGCTGATCAGCCCACAGGAAGAACTTACAGTCTCCTGTGGTACACTTGTAGAACTGACGGCCTTGATTGGGACCCTCTTTGCGAACAGTGAGAAGAATGGCATCCTGACCACAGTTACACACAATGGCACCGCCCTGGGCTGAAGCTGGTGGTTGTGTTGCCCGTGGAGGTGGCAGACTGGCTCTGGGTGCTGGAGGTGTGACCCTGGATGGAGGTGCTGAGTTGGTTCTAGGTACATGATGCTGATTTGATCCAGAGCCGTTATGTGCCCGAGAGCCAGAATCTGCTACTCCTCCTCGGATGTATTTCAAGTTTAAGACCTCTCTGAGAGTCTCATCACATCCTCCAATGCATCCAACAAATTCAAGGGGCATCGTAGGTGGCAAACTTCCTCTCTTGAATTTAAGCTTCAGCCTGTCAAGAATTTTATGAATAAAACCAAAACATTATTTAAAATGACCATATTTACTTTGCTAATTCACCCTTATTGTCCATGATTTTTTAGTGCAAGTTTGTTCACATTAGTTAATACAGTAGAAATCATGAACTAACAAATGAACAACATTTTTTAACATTTATTAATCTAGGTTAATGTTAATTTACAAATATATTGATGTATGTTGATAATTCATGTTCGTTCATAGTACCAAAAAAATATTTTACAATTTAAAATAAATATTAAATGCTGTAAAAGTATTATTCAATGTTTTATTTTTCATATTAGCTACTGCATAAACTAACGCTAACATATAAAACCTTATTGTAAAAATGTCACCAAAAATACAATACTGTTCAAAGTTTGGGGTCAGCATGATTTCTTTTAAGTTTTGAAAGAAGTCTCTTATGCACATCAAGGCTGTTTTTTTATTGAAAATAAATAAAATACAGTAAAAACAGTAATATCGTGAAATATTATTACTATTTAAAATAACTGGTTTCTATTTTAATATATTTTAAAATGTAATTTATTTCTGTGATGACAAAGCAGATTTCAAATCAGCAAGACTTTCAGAAATCATTAGATACGATTTTTGTGGAAACAGTGATACATCAGGATTCTCTGATAAGTAGAAAGTTCAAAAGAACAGCATTTATTTAAAAAAGAACTTTTTTGTAACATTGTGAATGTCTTTACTGTCACTTTTGATCAATTTAGTGAATCCCTGCTGAATAAAAGTACTAAAGGTGCACTAAGCGATTTTTGCCAAACGATGTTGATATTTGAAAGCACCAAAACAAACACGCCCATACCCCAACAGGACCTCGCCCTTATTTTGAAATCTCCGCCCCATACGAATGTACACAACCATGGCAACGACGATCATGGAAACAAGCGAAGATGAAACACAAGCATATTCAAACAAAAGCCAACACGGATAAGTTGTGTGAAGCGAAGCAAAATCAGTGTTACTCACCTATCAAGAAGAAAAAACAACGCAACCTAGGCGTCCGATTCGAGCCCTTCTCGCTCCTTGAGTTTCTCTCCACTGCTGGAAAGCTGCTCCGATATTTACTTGCCTGATCGTAACTAGGGCTGCACGATATTGGAAAAATCTCACATTGCGATATTTTTTTTTTCTGCGATATATATTGCAATATAAAAAAAAAATCAGATGACTTCAATAGCTCTATTTGGAAAAAAACTTATCTATGATTGGGGTGATTTTGTAGGCGAGTAAATCAGCATAGGAAATAAACAAATTACAAGCATAGATAAATATAACAGAACAAAGATACAAATGAAATAAGCAGTGCTTTATATTTTTCAGGTAAGTCTAACAGTATTCAGGTACAGAAATTGAATAATCAAATGTAAAATAACACTGCATAGTTTTCACTATAAATTAAATCTAATAAATCTGTGTTAAAGCTACAAAAGTGATTTTTCTTTGTGTTTTGTTCTTTGATTAACGTTCATGACAGAGAAAGCAACAGGAACATTGAACTGCTGTGTGTGAACCAATATACTGTTACACATCCATTTTCTTTCTCAATTGTTTCCCTTCGCCTAAGCCATATGCAACTGTGTTTACAAGGATACTTGCAGGGCAAAGTATTTCAGGCACAAATAGCGGAAGTAAACGGAATTCAGAGTTCATAATTGAAAATGGGCAAAAAGGCGGGAGCAGGTTGCTGAAACCACGCCCACCTAGACGGTGGTGACAGCAGCGGCAATCCACTTGTCACTCAAGTGGCCACGCCCTTAATTATGCAGAACTTTAAGGCTTAATATAATTTAAACGGATGACTTATAAAAAA